CGCCCCCCGACAAGAAGCAGAGCCCCAAGCCACATATCATGTGACTAATCAGCTGGTTTGACAATAATAAGCCAAACAATGCTACCAAGGCGTTTTAACATATACAAAGCCGCCATTTTTTCTGTTTTATTCCACATATTGTTGTCACCTAATTGGCACGTAATCGCCCAACTTTCGCTTTGGTTAGCCTTAGCCTACTAGCGATTGCTAAACGTAATACTCGCCTCCAAAAAGGCGACAACGTCACATGAGGTCAATGCCTTTAAGAGTTACAACACACAAGCTGATTCATTGATTGGAAAATGACTGTGCTGCCAGACACGACAGTGTTTTATTTTGAGATAGAGCTAATGACTATTGTCGGCCTTGTGGTGATACTTTTCCATTAGCTATCTTAGAAAATGCCAAACGCGTACGTAAGGCTTGCGTCAAGCTAACACATTGGATGCAGTTTTTTTTCTTCCCCATTTGTAGCTTTGTCAAGGATAAAGACGTAATTTTCTGTACCTTTAATCCCCGCCATCTCCCTGGACAAAGGATCGTCACACTACAGCCGGGCCAGATGACAACAGCTCCTCCTCGCATCCGCTGCAGACTGCGTCGGAACCTGGAGCATTTCGGTGTCGACCGAGATGCTTTCAAAGACTAGCACGAGTGTCGGAATAAAATAAACTATTCGATTGCTCTCGATGAGTCAAAAAAAAAAGTCACGGTGGTGTTTATTTTACATATTACTATATGAAAATGGCCTTTATCGAGGGATTTGATTGTGCGTTGTTAAAGTCTGCAGCCAGTTAGGAATACGTCGTTGTTTTGATGAGAACTTTTGTGCTCTTAACCCGCTCTTGACATGTGTACATGAGCATCGCAAGGCTGTCCTTTAAAAAATAAAAACAAAATCACATTTTAAAATGCAACTGTACTACAGTAATTGACAAAATACTTACATACAGAATCCCGAAAATCAGTAATAACATACATATTCGTGTTATGTCGACAACCTAGGGATGGTATTCTGGCAAAAAAAAAAAAAAAAAACAAGGACTTTGTTGACATGTTCATCATAAAACTTCTACAGCAACGTGTTGGCGAGTATGGAATTTATTTACAACAATTATGATATAATCAAATATGAAAATATTGGTTGACCGAAAGTTTCAACTCGTTTGGTGTTAATCCGGATGTACATGTTTCTACTTCCCACTGTTGCTCAGTAGTTCCACTCATCAAAGATGGCGAGCGGGGGGCCACCCACGGCCGCGCTGTGGACCGAAGTGAACCGGTGCGGACAGAATGGAGATTACACGAGAGCCTTGAAAGCACTTACAAAAAGTAGGTGGCCTTGCCGCGAGCGAAGAACATGTTGTCGACTTATGTCTTGAGTGTGTGCTAACTTGTCAGCGATGCTCCGTGGCTAAGCTACGTTTAACTCCCCTGGCAGCTGTTAGCATGTGGCTATGCTACGGGCCCTAAATCAGCCAGATGTCACTTTTCGTTCGTTTTTGCTTTTATGTGCCCTTATATATGTGTGTCTATATTTTTCAATAATTAAGTTGTATTATAAGTTCCCTGTGTATTATGTAAGGCTGTGGTGTTAATGTTGCACCGCCTTCTCGTGGATTGTGACGTGTCTATTTCATGACAGTAGATTCATTTTAGTGTTCATTTTTTAACATAAATAATACATTACCATTCTAATTCTCTCGAAAATGTGAGTGTCCTTTGTTTCTGTGATAATTAGGTTTAATTGTGTTGAGCGCTTATAAGATTTGTATTTTTTTCTCCTCCTTTTGCCACAGTTTTGCAAGCAAACAGGGAAGATGTAACAGCCCTTCACTGTAAAATCGTGTGCCTTATCCAGAATGGCACCTTCAAGGAGGCTTTAAATGTCATGAACACACACAACAAGATCATCGGCAGGTAAATCATGATCTCATGGGAAGGCGGTCACATCTGTGCATTTATGCTGCACTCTCATTGGCAGATGGATACCCAATACCGATGAAATGTTTATCTGTATTTGGAGGAGGCCTGATTACAATTGTGTCACTTTGACCATGCAGTGGTTTACCATGCACCATGGTTTGAAACTTCCCATGTGTGCTTCTCTTGCTGCTGTGAAGTGGGAATTTCTCCATTGTGAGACTATTAAAGGTTTTCTTATCTTATCTTCCTCCAGCGAGCTCGTGTTTGAGAAAGCATATTGCGAGTACCGTTTGAACAGAGTGGAGAGCTCTCTGAAGACCATCGAAAGTGCTCCCGCGCAGACGGACAAGCTTAAGGAGCTCTATGGTCAAGTGGTGAGGCTTGTCGATTTGCTATTTAAAAATCCATCTGGTTTTATTTTGTATAGGTATAGAAACTTATTTGAATAGAGGTGTCCATCACCCATCAAATACTCCCAGTTACATCTCAGTTGATGTGATGCTGATAAAGTAGGTTTTTAGAGTGCCAAATGTTCTGTTTCTGAATGTTTAATGTGCGCCAATATGACTGAATTTCAAGCAAATGTGGATGAAATTTCAAGTAGAATTTGTTACTTTGGACCTTTTTTTAGTGAAATAAAATGGTAAGGCAGCTCCAAATGAGACCACCTGAAAACCTTTATGAAAATTACAGGAAATGTTTTAAGTAATATTTTTATGTTCTTACCTGTCATAGACATACATCTTTATTTATGTAGCACTTTTACAACAGTTGCTGCTGTAACAAAGCACTTTACAGAACATTGAACATAAAATGACAAAAATAATATAACAAAACACGGACAACAATATCTAATTAACTACTGTAGAATCGAGGTAAAATAGAGTAAAAGTATTGCCTGGCAGACAAGCAATTAGCCGAAGGTGATTGCAGCGCGATAAATGTATTAGGCGTAGAAAAAAAAGTAGTGTGTTTCCGGTAACCCGGCCGACCGAGAATTTCTACCTCGAAAAAAAACTTTACGGTCGGCATTTTTTTTCAAACAACCTTCAAATTTAACACACGTCATCATTAGTTCTACCAACAGTTAACATTAGCATTACTACACCTTGTGACGAATGTTTTATTCATAAAGGTACCATGCTACAACCAGTAAATTATAGAATAACCAATACTGTTTCATAATATTTTTCATAGCGATTAGCCTATAAATCTAATGACCAACTTGCCTCGTAATCGTGCCTCTCGTTGTATCTCGCTCTCGTGTTCTGTGCATACATCCCAGGTGAGTTTAGTGATACGCCCAATGGACGATTCATACGAAAAATCAGACTGGCATTCCCATTTCTTAAATGTCGTAATTAGTAGACCTTTGTGAGTTTTTTTCGCCGCCATCTCAAACTTTCATCCGCGCGATTCCTCAGTGTGCGGACTAAAATAGCAACCTGCATGCGCACATAACGTTATCTGTTGTGTCCCCCCCATCACTGAAAACAAAACGAAAGTAAATTAGAAGAAAGACACTCACACACCACACCACAAACACACAAAGAGGCACAGTGAAATCACGTTGATCACACAGTCAAGTCATGTGCGGTGACTTTAATGGTTAAACTATTTTTTGGTACCGTTAAAATGACGCCACGGACACGACACGCTACCAGTAACTATTGTTACTGTGCAATCCTCAGGCTTGCCGTAGTTTTTTTTTTTTTTTTTGTTTTGACTGAGAAATTTCCTTGCGTCCCAAAAACGCACATTATTTGGAACTGTGCGTCCTGTGGGAAAATTATGCGTCTAGAACGCAGGACGCAGAGGTAACGAGATGGCTGTAACACCCAGCCGCCGGGTACCCAACTCTCTCGCCGCCTTTGCTTAAAATTAAGATTAAAAAAAAAAACTTTGTCCGACCTACCGACCCTATGCTGAAATTTCATGTTACCGGAAACACACTATTTTTTTTTCTATGCCTTAAACTATCATGAAAAGGGTCATACAGTGCTGAGCATTCAGGTGCTGTTATGTGGTTATGATCACCAATGCATTCTGAATTTTTAAATTATTATTCTTTTGTCTTTGTGCAGTTGTACAGACTAGAGCGCTACGACGAGTGCAAGTCAGTCTACACGGATCTGATCAGGAACTCCCAGGACGAGTATGAAGAGGAGCGCAAGACCAACCTCGCGGCTGTTATGGCTGCCATGAGCCAGTGGGAGAAGGCGCCGTTGGCAAGTGTTGCTTCAATGAACGAAGCCACTCCTGTGATTTCATTTGGGATCTCTGAAAACCACACCTTTTGCCCCCCTTCATGTTGCAGGAAGATTTAGGCCTTCCCGAGTCAACGTACGAGCTGTGCTACAATGCCTCCTGCATGCTGATTGGCCAGGATCAGCTGACTGAAGCGTTTAATAAGCTTCAACAAGCTGAAGGTCAGACCTCGTCCCATTCCCAGTCCACTCTAATCCATTTTTTCCCCAACCTTTTTATGAGCCATGGCTCATATTTTACATCCCAGAAATCCCGTGCCACACCACTCCCCAAAAAATCTCATAAACAGTGCATAGAGCAATCTGAATTAAAATCTTTCCATCTTGATTATTGAAATTAGAAAATTTTCCACACCAGAATCTCATGATGTCTTATGGAACACTAATGTGAGCGTGGTTGGAATCTATAAACTGGTTTTAATTTTCTTGTGTTTCAGAGCTTTGCCGGCTGTCATTGGCTGAAGATTCGGTAAGTTTGTATATCTGATTCACAAACTAGCCAGCATGACTTGTAGCGGTGCAGAAATCCATTGTCCTCTCCTGCAGGACATAACCGAGGAGGACATTGAGTCGGAGCTGGCCGTCATCCATTCTCAGATGGCGTATGTGATGCAGTTGCAAGGTCGGACAGACGAGGCGCTCCAGCTCTACAATCAGGTCATTAAACTCAAGTAAGATGAATTTCCTTTCATTTACAAGCAGATGGCGTAAGCTTGTGTTTCTTTTCTTTTTTTTTTTGTCCATGAAACACTGATTCTTTTTCTTGCTTTAGGCCTTCAGATGTGGGCCTGCTGGCTGTGACAGCCAACAACATCATTACAATAAATAAGGTGGGCCAATTTGCAAGCCTATGAAGTTTGATTTTTGAAGGTCACAGAAAGGCAGACATTATGAAAACTGCAAATAGCAATGAAAGGGCTTTCTAATTTATCGTACTCTTCATTCATTGAAATAATAAGAAAGACAAGAATTCAAAGCGGCGGCCTTCCCACTCATGAAAGTACTCTTCGACTTTTCCACAGGACCAAAACGTGTTTGACTCCAAGAAGAAAGTGAAGCTGACAAACACAGAAGGGGTCGAATACAAACTGGCCAAAAAGCAGCTACGGACCATCGAATTCAACAAAGCCCTGCTGGCCATGTACACTAACCAGGTGATTTCAGAGAACCCCCAATTGGACCTCTGATATGCTTTGAAGCATTCATCATTTCTGTTTTTGCAATTGAACAGGCCGACCAGTGCAGAAAGCTGTCCTCTGGTCTTCAAACTCAGAACCCGGGTCACCCGCGACCTGTCCTAATCCAGGTGGCTCAACTGTGCAGGGAGAAGCAGCACAGCAAAGCGGTCGAGTTGCTCCAGGTAGGATAGCTCTCGCGTCACGGCCAAACTGGCTTCTATGACACACGTGGAGCTAACTTGTGTCACCCCCACACCCCCACTACCTTCAGCAATTTTCAGATCAGCATCCGGAAAGCGCGTCAGGCATCAAACTGACAATGGCACAGCTCTATTTAGCTCAAGGTATGAGCATTTATCTTGTCAGTTTGTCATCAGTGTGCACTGGTCCATTTTTTAAAATTGATTTATTTGGCATCCACAGGTCATGTCACAAAAGCCTGCGATGTCCTCAGGTCAATTGAAGAGTTCAAGCATAAAGCGGGCATGGTAAGAGCGCATTGTTGAATTGTCACTTTTGCATTCTACCAAGGCTCGATTGACGAAGGTGCCAAAATGTCCACCTGAACTAAACCGTGCTATTGACGCCTTAGGTGTCTGCTCTGGTGTCCATGTACTCGCACGAAGAAGACATCGATGGCGCAATTGATGTTTTTCGACAAGCTATTCAGCACTACCAGTCCGAACAGGTTTGTTTCTTGTCACTTGGTTTAATTCCTCAGCTGCAGAAAAGGAGTGTCATTTGGTGACTGTAATATTGAATGTTTACCCGTCACTCTGTCCTCCTGTTCATACTCCACAGCCAGGATCCACGGCGCACTTGGCTCTGGTGCGAGAAGCTGCCAATTTCAAACTGAAGTATGGGCGTAAAAAGGAAGCCATTAGTGATCTGGAGCAGCTGTGGAAGTAAGTTGACTCAATGTGGGGAAAAACACTGGCTTTCAGGCATGTTTTACGAAAAGGTACCCCGTCAGCTCTAAATCCGTATTGGATCGTGACTACTTTAAGGTTCAGTGGAAAGGTTTTACCATATTTTAGACATGATAAACTATATACTTGAACTTCAATTGCTATTTACAGCTGTGTAACGCCAACACTCAGTTATATTGTGGCAATCAAATGTGCCAAATGAGTCCATTTTGTGCCCCTACAATACATTACATTTGTAGTTTTACTCTTGGCAGGAGTCTCTGTCAGTAAACATAGCTCATCATTTGATTTTTAACAATTTCTGTTTGTAACACCAATTGTGGCGTCAACATGAGCCATAAATATGGTACTTTCTTAGATATGACAGTGTTACGTCCAACAAGGTCTGAGATGAGTCATGGTATCTTGTGAATTGTAAGCATGCAATGCAAAATTCATTACCACAACTAACTGAAAACAAAGTTTTAAAAAAATTTGACACACAACAGACGGATTTTTATCTTGGGTTACATATGTTCATAAAATGTTCTTTCTTCAAACAGGCAAAACCCGAAGGACATTCACACACTGGCGCAACTCATCTCCGCCTACTCTCTGGTGGACACGGACAAAGCCAAATCGCATCCTTTTTAAAAGCAAATCACATTTTCTCTCTTAGTTTCTCGAGCATGTCTTACAAGTCGAAGTTTGAAAGCTTTTGCATTTTCCTCAACGTTCCCTTCCAGCCTGAGCAAGCACCTCCCTTCAGCGGACACCATGTCCTTCAAGGTGGACGTTGACGAGCTGGAGAACTCGCACGGAGCCACGTACGTCAGGAAAAAGGCAGCCAAAGTGGCAGGAGAAAATCTTCCTAAAGAAGAAGGGTAACACTTTATTCTTATCCCTTTAATTGCCTTGATTCGATTTTTTTTTTTTTTTTTTTTACGTGCTGGTTTTAAATGTCATCCCAGATCACTTTATTGTAAGCCCGTCTTATATTAACCTTAAACATAAATGGCTTACCAAATGCTGAGCAAAATGGTACATGTGGTGTGAAGACTCCATAATTTCTAACAACCTAGGCTTCACCGACAAACATACAAAGGTTCTATTACAGACGCGATGGTATATCACTTTAACTTGACACCAATTAGTACTTGACTATTAGTAAAGTCTTTGCCAGCTTGTGGAATCTTTTGACACTTTGAAATTAGATTTTGGGGGGGAAATAGCTTGAAAGTCGTTGAATACAACTACATATCGATGATTTAAAAAAAAATTCTTCCTGAGTTGCTCCATATGTAAAGTGTCTTTAGACAACTTCTGTTTAGAATTGACAACATCAATAAAGTTGAATTCATAATTTATGGGTACCTTTTTTGTCTTTTTCCAGACAAGGTGATATTAAAAAGAAGAAAAAGAAAAAGAAGGGTAGGTTTTGATCACTGGTTGATCAACCGATTTGGCCTGACTGGAGGTCCTAAGTGTCCGCCTCTTCCTTCTCTTCCCCCCCTCCAGGTAAACTACCGAAGAACTGTGACCCCAAAGCCACCCCTGACCCAGAGAGATGGCTGCCTATGAGGGAACGCTCCTATTACCGCGGCAAGAAGAAGGGGAAGAAGAAGGAGCAGATCGGGAAAGGCACGCAGGGGGCCACGGCAGGGGCCTCGTCAGAGCTGTGAGTAACTGAAACATTAATTGAATTAGCCCCATTACAAAGAGGAAAAAAAATCACAGCAAAATCTCTGCTCTGAAGCTTGTATGGCTGGAGTGAATATTACTGCCATCGCACGAACCACTCCAAGAAGAAAAAAAATGACCCAAAAAAATGCAGTTGAAGCACATCTTGTTGGTTTCATTTCAAAACTAATGAGATAAGAATTCTGTCCACATCCCACTATTTATGGTCTTGATTGTAGTGAATTAATGAGCATACTTTGGTTGTCTTCCTCCCCCTGTGCCAGGGATGCCAGCAAGACCGTCAGCAGCCCACCGACGTCCCCTCGACCGGGATCGGCATCCAGCTCGGCCCCCACCAACGTAGTCCCTCCGCGACAGCAGAAACCTGCGTCCGCTGGGGCCACGCGCAAGAAGGCACCACAGAAGAAGAAAAAGAGCGGTAAAGGAGGATGGTAGCCTTGGAAGAAAAGGACCATTCAGTTCATATCCCTCCCCATTCTTGGGTCCTGCTTTTTCGTTTTAATTTACAGACAAAACCTCCAACTTCCTTCCACTTTTTGTCTTACTTTTAACATACAGGACACGGCACAAAAGACTCTAAAAGACGGTTCTGAAGAAATGAAAGTGTACGTCTCCTTGAGCGTTCCTTTTATTGTTTTGTCTTGGGAGTTTCTGACGTTGCAAGACATATTTGTTGTGTTCAAAAAATGAAACACATTTTAATTAAAAAGTACAAAATGAACTGTACTAGGATTGTGTTTCTGGCAATAGTTTTTTTTAAAACCCCGTCACTGCCTTCAACTACTTCAAAGTGCCGATAACTGATAATTGGGACAAATTTAAGGAGAGCATTCAGAATAATTAGGATAGCATTTAAAAGGTCATCGTCTATAATTCCTCAGGACAATCTTAGAAACAATAATGCGGTATTTGCTGACTGATGGCGGTGGCGGGAAAATGCTCAAATTCAGATCAATTTTTGATACGTCGACACAGCTTAACAATTTAACATCATAATTACTTTGTTGCGCAGCCCAACTGTGTTGATCTCATACACAAGGATTTGCTGTCATGCAGAAATACAGGTTCCATATATTATTACATATTATGACTAATATTGAGGGTATAATTTTTTTCCTCTCAAATATGAAAAATTATCAGGAAAATAAAGGACTTCTCTCAGATAAACTGTTCTGGTAATTTTATCTATCTATCTATCTATAGATATATCTGTATATAGATTATCTATCTATATATATATATTACAGTATACACACACAATTTCCGACCTATCCAAGTTGTCTTCAGGCAGAAGGCAGGGGTACAATCCGAACTGGTTGCCAGCCAATCGCATGGCGCGCGCACAGACAAACAACCATCCACTCTCACACCTTCGTGCAATTTAGAGTGTTCCATTAACCTGCCTCGCATGTTTTTTTTTGGGGGGGCGGGGGGGGGGTACCCAAGGAAACCCACCAAGCACGGGCGGAACATGCAAACTCCACACAGGAAGGCGCAGCCGGAATCGTACCCTGTACCTTTGCACTGTGGGGCCGATGAGCTAACCAGTCGCCCACCAGGCTGCCCATATACATTTATATATCGAGATAGATAGAACTATCTATAGAGATAGATATAACTATCTATCTAGATCAGGGGTAGGGAACTCCGGTTCCTCGAGAGCCATTTCCTGCCTGTTTTAGATCCCTCCCTACTCCACACACATGATTCAACTGTTCATGATTGTTTCAGGCCTCTACAGGGCTTGCTGATGAGCTGATGATTTGAATCAGGTGTGTTGGAGTAGGGTGGGATCTAAAACAGACAGCATATGGCTCTCGAGGAACCGGAGTTCCCTACCCCTGATCTAGATAGATCTTTAGTTTCTTTGGATATTTTTTTTCAGGTTGTCCCAAACGAGTTGTGAACTCCAGTTCCTTGAGAGCCATATCCTGCCTGTTTTAGATTTCTCCCTACTCCAACACACCTGATTCAATTGTTCATGGTCGTTTCAGGGCTTCTACAGAGCTTGCTGATGAGCTGATCATTTGAATCAGGTGTGTTGAAGTCGAGAGCGAGAGAGAGAGAGAGAGAGAGAGAGAGAGAGAGCGAGCGAGAGCGAGAGCGAGAGAGAGAGATCCAAAACAGGCAAGACCCGGCTCTCGAGGAATCAGAGTTCCCTACCCCTGGCTAAGAACTTCATGTGCATTTTAATCGGTTAAAATCGATTGGGTTAGTCCTACTTGGGCCATTTCCGAATTGCATAAAAGTCATCGGAACGCCTCGCTTGGACACACATCGACACACTATTTGGTCCAGGATGCCTCGCATGCCTCCCAAATACGCCGACAACTTCTACGAGCCTCTCACGGAGGACGTGGAAACTCTCCTCGGCCGCTTCCAGCAGATCGACTCGGTCCGCTTGGAGCGCTTCACGGCCCTGTGGAGGGACGCCCGCTTCTCGGACGTCTTCCTGGGCATCCCCAGCATGAGCGAGATGAGGCGCTTCTGCCGCGTGGTCATGGCCACGGCCGTCAAGTACTTCCTGCCGCCTTACTGCTACCAGGTGCGGGTCGGCGGTCTGTACTTGATGTACGCCTTCTACCACACGCAGCTCGCCACCCCACCGGTGAGGATCCGCCTGGCTCTCGGAGACTGGGACGACGTGCAGAAGTTCTTACGGGACTCCATCGTCTGCAGACACCTGGACGTGATTTACGTCTACCGGAAGCTGGTTTCCGTCAAGGCGATGGACTACACGGCCATGCCGCATTTGCTCGTTTTCCAGCGGCCGAAGAAAGCCAAAGAGCAGAGGGTGTGCGCCGGAATGCTGGCTCGGGTCACCGCGGTGCAGGAGCTGCTAACCGAGGACTACCTGGAGGAGGTCGCCAACGTCCAGAACCACTACCAAAAGATCAAGAACCAGCTGGTGGAGGTCCGTACGGCTACTTCTACTACGGTGGCCGAGACGTAGAGTGCAAAACTCCGGTGGAAAGCTAGTGCTAAAGCCAGCGTTTGAATTCATTTTAATTTGTTTCCTTGACAGGAAAAAAAAGACACAAGATAAAGCTAGATGAAGAAAAATAGTGGCCTTAAATTAGATAATTGGGCACGATTTCCATTTTCAAAGAGTAGGAAGCAAGCTTATTATAGTTGAAGAAAAGGAAAACAACTTAACCTAAAATTGGAAAACAATTTTCATTCATGAAATAAATTAAAATGAAAATGTTTTTAAAGAACAGGAAAGCGAACCTCAGCTGTACACAAAACTTAATGACATTGTTTTTCATCTTGCGCTCCACCAGTACCCCACATAATAAATATACAGTGTGTGCATATATATATATATATATATATAAATAACCCAGCCGCTGGGGGGCAGTCTTCAAACTGTCGTTGGTTCACCCCAATGGAGTCTCGACCCCCTGAGGTATCAATTCCTTTGTAATTATTGAAATTATTGCACTACAAAGGATGTCTTTGCTCCATTTCGGCTTCACAAAAGGAAACAAATTAACTCTTTAATTGTGTGAAAAAGACTTTGCCTTTAGCTGTAATCCACTGCACGGAGTTTCCAGCAAAACAACACTGCGTGCGAGAACAGGCGGCCCCTTTGTCAACATTTCTGTTATTCCTCCTGAAACCTGAATCCGCCGCACACCTGTTCTTTTGTGCCATTTTTTCAGTGGGGTCTCTGGCCCTCTAATTCTCGCTTCTTTCTTACGCTTTTGGCTTTGTACTCGCCGCCTACATTAAACACCTTCTCTTTGCCTGCCTGCTGAATAGGGATGTGCCGAAAGGAGAAGAAAAAAAAAAAGATATATATATATATATATATATATATATATATAGCGAGAGAGATATAGCTATAGATCTCGAGAGAGAGATCTACATTTAGATATTGACATTTTCTAATCCGTTTATCCTCACGAGGGTCACGGGCATACTGAAGCCTATCCCAGATGTCTTTGGCCAGTAGGCAGCAGTACACCCTGAACTGGTTGCCAGTCAATCGCAGCACAGCACACAGAGACAAACAACAAACATTCGCGCCCAGACTCACACTCACACCTAGGGACAATTGAGTGTTCAATCGACATACTGTCTATATTTTTGGAATGTGGGAGGAGACCGGAGTACCCGGAGAAAACCCACGCAGGCACGGGGAGAACATGCGAACTCCACACAGGAATTCGGCTGGAGCTGGAATCAAACCCTGCATCTCTACATTGTGAGGGGGACGTGTTAACCAGTCGCTCACCGCGGCCTATATGTGTGTGTGTGTGTGTGTATATATATATAT